AGAAAAGACTCTAAAAAACACATAACTAAACCAATTGAGTATTAAAAAAAAAACTAAAATATCATCCAAGAAACAGTTCTTCACTGATGATTAATGCATTTGCAATTCTATAACAACAACTTCAACTTCATTTTGTCATGTGGATCCTTTTAGATTGGGGGAGGGCAGAAAGTGATAACATATCTTGGAGCCCTGCATCTGTTAAGGCTGCTAGAGTCATCATATGCATAACTATAAGCCTTAGGACAAATAGCCTTAAAGAGATGAGCAAAAAGGGTTGGCTTGCATGTTTTAGGGTCAGAATAACTCCCTGTGCAGCAATACTTTGCTGATTGCATAGCCAAGCATGCACTCTTACACCCCACAACCTTGCCATTTCTCTTCACCTCAAGTGCTGAAGGACAACAAACATTCAAATCCACCTCACAGGAGGCCACACCACACCCAATTCCACCCCCAATTGGCTTCATGGAAACAGGCAAGTTGAAGCCATCAACCAAACTCACATCATAGAAGTGCAAGGGAGAAGAGGAGGATCCAAGGGTCATTTCAACCACTGTTGCTGGTGGCACCCCTCCTTGCCCTCTACAGCGTAGCTTCCCATTGCAATCACCTGTGAGACAGTGACCATTTCCATCATTGTCAAAGTCGCAACCCTGCCTGCCCCAAATTCTCCCTGACCACTTCTCTGGCACATCAAGCACTAGTTCTTCACCACTTCCAAGATGCTCTCCACCATCTTTTGGAGTCTGTTGTCCTGCTCCACCAAGTATCCCTGGCCATACACTTTCCCCACAGTTGTTCACTAGAATCAGCTGAGCCCCATCTACAACAAATAATGAAAGATATATCATGCTTAGAAATAACATTTGATAGCCTGGAGATTCTTGGATACACTTTAAACCTGATTTAATACATGTTAGTAGTGTTTTTGTTGGTTTCTCTATTAGAAAAAGTTCTTTATTTTCAGAAAAGAAGCTTTTAAAAGCTCTTTTAAGTTTGTATCCAATCAAACTATATATTATTTAAGAGCATTTTCTTAAACGGGATCATTAAACATGTATCATATTAACTGTTATGCAAGCTATAAAGTTTGTTTAAATGCAAGTTTAGAAGTATTTTTGATAGCTTCTGTGCTGGAAACGACTCTATTTTCAGTAAAGCAAATCTCAAAAGCACTTCTAACTTATAGCTAAATCGGTTCATAATCATAACAGAGTAAATAATATATATTTCATCCTTGAAGTATTACCCTTTCTCCTAACTAACTGGTCCCTAAAGTATAAAATGAAAAAACATAAATAGTCTTAAAAGTAATAAAATTATACTAAATGATCCCCTGGATATTAAAAAACCCTTTAAATTAGTCCATGAACTTGACTAATATACGCCAGCTTGGGACCAAAGCGATAGATATTCAATACTTTTGTTAGTTAAATAGTTTTATTGTTCTAGAGATCATTCAGTAGAGAGGATAATATACTATGAAGACGAAATTGATGGTTTACTTAATCATCATATTATCTTATGTTTTCCTCTTAAATCTTCAATACACGAATCATGACAGTTATTACACGCTATATGGCATATACTGAGCTATGTGGTGGAAGAGGAGAGAATGCAGTATAGTGCATACAAGTGCATCAAAAGTTTCTATTAGAAATAAGAAACGAATCAATGAGAAGGCAGAGGAGGAAATAAAATATTACCTACGAGTATGATGGAGCAAAAGGCAACCAGGTAGAAGAGAAAGGGTAAGAGAATAAAGGAAGTTCTTGCCATTGTTTCAGTTCAATGAATAGCTACACAGTTCAAGAGGTGGTGCGACTGACTCTGTGTGTGAGGCTTCCAAGTTCCAAATATTTGGCCCTCAAGTATAAGTCGTGCCAAGTGCTATCTTTTTATATGAAAACAAAACGGTTTTGTAACTTTCACTGTGACCTTCATTAAGCTTTTGCCTTTATTTTCTCCACTCACTTTCTGCTTTCTCTTTCATAACAAAGGAGCATATATGCATTGCTTCCAGCTGGAGATTTCTTTTCTAAGTAACTGTTTTATTAAAATGGTTAAAATATTGCTATTTAAATATTGTAGAATGTTTTTGTGGGGGATCAGCAGGTTGCTACTAACTAGGCAACTTGCAGCATCTTTGGGATGAGAAAAAAAAGAGTACATTATGTGATATGAACTTTAGGTGCATTAGAGAATGTTTACACCTTAAACTTCAATGACATGGCATTTCTTTTCCGTGAGGCAAAATTTTAGGAAGTATAGGAATATCTGTAGGATTTTTGCTTTATAACATCAGCATTATCTGTTTCTATCTTAAAATGGAAAAAGGGGTATAGTACAAAATGATTTATTGTTTTTTCAAAGTTAAGCGTAATTATGCCTTCTACTTTGTTCAATATTGTAGCTTAAGATTTGTTTTATTCTTTATGAGACATAATACTAAAATTTAACACAATTTGGGTTCATCCCGTGATCGATGAAGCTTAGTAGAAGTGTAAGCAGTGGTATAGCAAATATACTTGACTAAAGAAATCATCATGATAATAAGAGCACGCATCGAATTGACTTTTAGGAATTGATAACATGATATTGGTAATGTAGATCAGTGAAACTTGGTACATCTTTGGTGGGGAAATTATAGTGAATTATGGTGGGTTGAGTTATATTTGATTTGACTAAAATTTAGGATGTTTAGTTACTACATAATTGAGTAAATTATATTGTCACCCTTTTCTGAAATTGCACCGACACCTCTTATTTTTTCTATAATAATCTTCCTTAATTATTTAAAAAACATTATAACAGCATTCTTAATACATTACTTTAACTCTCTCCTTAATTATTTGAAAAAATTACATTGTGATTTCCTTAAGGGAGATTATTGTAAATTAAACCTTAAAAAAACAAGAGGTATTAGTGCAATTTTGTAGAACTTCAACAAGTGTCAGTGTAATGTTGGATGTCAAGTTGAAAAAATAATATTATGTTTATATGTCAAGTTTTATTGCACTTTTCATTTTACATTATATATTATTTTATTTGTATTTTTTAATATGATAAAAAAGCATTATGCATTAATATAAAATAGATTTATACAATCGTAAAATATCATGCATGGTATATTTATTAATTTTTACAATAATTATTTTAAAAATTACACTAACAATGATTTTTAATTGGTTGATAGTGTAAAACCATTTATATTGACAGTGTATGACCAATATCTTGACTTTCCATTTAAGTTTTAAAGAGATCATTTCTTCTTTGTTTATGTTTTTGAAATGACCATAAACAAATGTTAAAGATGATCTTTTTTTAAGATTAGACAATATCATTCAAGATTAATTTTTATATATGGATAATTTTATATTGCTATATATAGAGTAAAATCAAAGAAAGATTTGAAGATTTTGATTGTTGATGTTGATGTGAAAGCATGCATCATTACAAAAAAAAAAAATCAATGTTGTTTACAAAGAGGTGTTTGAAAATTTATAGGAAGTCAAACACATTACATAAATATCTAAGATAGACATGTATTTTATATCATGTTTATATTAATAATGAAGTGAATAAAATAATACATGAAGAGAAGTTGAATGTATTTTAAAAAAAATACAGTTCCCTTTTTGTACATATATGAATATACTCATATTAGTTCGGGAGTTTTTTTGTTTAAAATAAATATTTTAATCAACCTTTCGTGATTGTTTACATCACAAAGTTCACAACTCTTACAAGATTATCAAATAACAATGCACTCACAATGTACCTAGATTAGATCTCATACCATAACACTTCATACACATCTTAACTAGGAACACACTCCATCAATTATTGTTAGAGTATAACAACAACCTTTCCTAGTTGTTTAAAGTACAAATTTCTCAACTCTTATTGGATTGCCAAATAACACTGCACTCATAGTGCACTTACATTTGATCACGCACTACAACACCTCACAATAGTTTGGTTAGGAAGTCTATCAACATGTTTTTAGTTATGTGTGAAGTTTTCACATATCACAATTTCTCATCCTAGAGTTTAATGAAGTTAATACACTACAATAGATGCACATAGTTACTAAAATTTATTGCTACACATACTCACTTGAGTTGGAATGTAGTTGAGATTTATCTAAATTTTTAAAGAAATTTAAATAAAAATTGCATCGATTAATGTTTATTTATTTATTTCAAATTGTTGAATACTTCATGCATCTTAATTTGTAATTGATATTCTATCATTGATATTATGTTCTAATGGAGTTATATATGACAACAAAATGGAAATACTCAGATTCTTTTGTTGTTGTTGTATTAAAGTTTTGTGGGTGCTTATTGAATTTATTTTAATTTTACATTATCTAAAAGCTTATTTGATTTTTTACGAAATCAACCCTTTTGAAAATAGATTATTAATTTTAGCTAATTATTATCTATTTCACTGGTTAGAAATTTTTGTAAGTGTTAATCATGAGAGTAATTTATTACTCCCTCCATCCTAAAACTTTGGTTCTTCATTTTTATTTTTAATTTTGTTTCAAAACCTTGATTTGGGGGATTGCAATACATGTTAATGTAAATTTTTTCTTTTAATCATACTCTTATGTGTAGTTGAGTAATTAAGATTAATTTAAACAAAATATTATTTAATACTATATTTTAAGTAGAACATTATGTTTTACAAGAACATAAAATGAAGTAATTAAAATATTGTAAAAATTTATAAATTAATAAACGTCAGTAACCTAATCTAAATGTATATAAATTATATATTTCATAATATGTGTGAAAAGTTAGAATAACCAAAATTTTAGAACATAGCTCGTTTGTTTTTGTGGCAATATGTTGTGTCTATTAGGACTAAGTAAACATGAGATTTCAGGCTTTCAAACCCCCTGCACAATAAAGCTATTTTTGGCCGATTTTTCTCTCATCACAATTAAAGCATGAATGATTTAATACAACATCTTAAAAAAAAAACTTAAAAAAAAGCAAATAATAAGAAACTCATTTGAATAGTGAAAACCCTGAACCCTCAACACATTACACATTTCATTTCCTTCTGAAACCCCATAGCCACAAACTCAACCATGCTTCGCATAGCTTCAAAGTTAACATCTAGGGTTTCTTCCTCTGCATTCCCCACCAGGCTCTCTCCTCTTCCCGCTTCATCCTTCCGATCATTCACCAATGGCTTGGAATTGGAAGCAGACATGGTCGTCCCCGACGCCATTAGGATGATCAACTACGCGCTGCGACAATGGAGGACCGAAAGATCACGTCAGTCTCACGTGCCCCCCTTTTCGCTCTTCTCCCAGAAACTCCGTTTCTCGGTGACCCCTTTGTGTTTTGTGGCTAAAGTTAACTTCTTTTTGGTTTTTCCGGTGTGTTTCTCTAGTTGGGGCGTTCCGGCTTGGCTGTTCTGTGTTGAAGCACTGTCTTTCGATGGAGTTTACTGAGGGAAAGGATCCAAAGCGCGAGAATTCGAAGGGAATGGCATTGCTTACTTTGTCCACGTTGTTGTATGAAAGGTATCTCCTTTGAGAGCGTTTGGCTGTGTTGATTGGTGTTTTTGTTTTCGTGTTGGAGCTCAATTTTGTGGGTGATTGGTTTAACTCTTTGAACATACCTCTTGTGTTAATTTTTCTTAGAGGAGAGTACAGTGAAGCAATAGAGAAGCTCGAGGGTGTTCAAGAATTAACCAATTCTTACTTGGGTGTTAGAGGTTAGTTCTTTTACTTTTTGTTGGTCTGTGCTATTGCTTTATTATTATTAGTATTAGGATTAGTTACGCTTTGTTTCTTATAGTTCATCAACTTAACCTATACCTATACTTAAAAAGGTCCAATTTTAGTCCTTATATGTATCAGTTTTGTTCCCTTTTAGTTCTTTTCATCATTTCTATAAAGACTAAAAAGTAATTTTATGAAATTATAGAGACAAAAAGAGAAACAAAAACCGTTTGTATAGAAACTATAATGGAATATTTTCAATTATATGGATTGAAAGGTAAAATTGATGAAATTACAGGAACCAAAAGGGTAATTAAACCTTCTTCTTATTAGTAGTAGGGGAAAAGGAACTCTAGGTCTTCCTGAAAAAACAGAAAGTGATAATTTTTTTTATGACAATTTTACTGTTTTAATATTTATGACAGTTTTTATTAACAGTAATTGAGGGTAAAATAGGTATAGAAATTGTGGACATGAAATGCGATAATCCCCTTTATTATTAACAAGTGGAATCGAGACACTTTGTATCTCTATTTTTTTAATAATTTTATAAGAAAAAAATAATAATGGGAATAATTGGGTTTTTACTTAAAAAGAGTAAATGATTTGAGACCAAAAACACATTGGGAGAGAAATAGCGATTTAGATTTCTAAGTAAAATAAAAAGGGCAAAATAGTCCATATAAAATGGAGACCAAAGCGGTTACCAAAGAAAATATCCCTTTTATATAATGTTATAAATTAACTAGTGGGAAAAAAGGCACTACGTGCCTCCTTTAACAAAGAGAGAAAATAACAGATCTATCATGATAGTTTGGACAATTGTTAGAGGTTATGGATAGTTATTAAGTGTAAAATGGAAAAGATCAAAATGGACACGCAATGAGAGAATCGATTTTATTATTAGTAAGTATAGATTTATTATTAATATAGTTTATTATTATTATTATTATTATTATTATTATCATCATCATCATCATCAGAGAAATGGTATCAACACACTATCTGACATACTTCTTTCTAACACACTTTTTGATGTCCCTTTCTAGAGTTCTTCAAGTTATCTTCTTTCGATGTCTTATCTTTGAGTAGGTTGAAGTGTTTTAGGGATAACAGTTTTGTCTAAATATCCTTTCTTAATATCCCAACAAGAGAACTTCACTACACCTTCCTCTTCCTAAAAGATGAAAGGGTCATCAACTTCAAATGGTTTAATTCTTGCAAAAGTAGTGTTTTGTTGATTAACATAGTAAATTTTGACCTCATAATACTTTTGGTCAGCATCCACAACTTCCAAATTCCTTTTTTCATTCCAAAAGAATATTTTTTGATAAACATTAAAAGGTACTATTCTAATTCCATGTATCTATTCTCGTCCTAACAAAAAATTGAAATTAGCCTTCGAAGAGACTACCATGTGAACATAATCATCCTTATCACACTCTTCACTTGCACATCCAGAATTATCATACCATTTGAATCAAGAGATTTTTCAGCATAATCTAAGATTAAAATATTGTGAGGCCTTAAATTAGAAACATTCTTACCCAATCTTTTTAACATAGTTTTATAAAGGATTTTAATTATTGTTGCTCCATCTACTAAAACTTTCTCGATCTTCTAACCTTCGATCGTCATAGTTAACAATAGTGGCTTCAAATGACCTTTCATTTCATTAGTAGAAGGATAAAATAAACCCTAAACCCTAAACCCTAAACCCTAAACCCTAAACTCTAAACCATCTTTAGAGATTGGTTCAACATCTTCCATTTGAGTCATTAACACACCATTATCTACATTGCAACTCATCTTTGTTTAGCTTAAATTGTGAGCTATTTAGCTTTGAGAGTTGACTTTTGTTTAAAAAGGATATTTACTTTTATAAGCTAAGCCTTTTTTATTTTGGAGAGGAGATTATTTTTGTCAAATTGTCTTTGTTTTGATCTATTGCACCTATACAATGGAGGGTCCAAAGAAAATAAATTTACTTAAGCTCTGTTGATGTTGATTTGGTGAGTTAGTCTTTTCTACAAAGTCGGCATAGAAAGAATCGAAAATAATATGTTTAAATCCAACATGTTTGGTTTACACAAGGGAACAATCTCATTGTCTCTTTAAGTGCTATTGTAATGGTAATGGTATTGGTTCTAAAGTAAAAAAAAATCTTACACTTGGTGCCATTGTATTTGTATTTTTCTAGGAGGAAAATGGACACTTCATTTTAAAATGATTTCATAATAAAGTTATTTATCTTCCAAAATCTGGCAGTAAATTGATAAAGCCCAAAAATACATGTCCCAAGAAGATAGATATAGACCAAATACCACATTCATTAAGTCATGAACCAAAGAAATGGAGCTTTTCTTTTTGGCAAAGAAAGGTATGTCCTTACTTTTCGAAAGCTAATCTTTTGAAATGAGATTCATTTAAGAGGTTGACATCTCCCAATAATAAATTGATCACAGATTGAATCTTTGATCATGTTTAAAGAACACGTCATCTACCAACCATGTCATACTTTGTTGGTATGATATGGAGAGATTTCTATAGATGAAGAAAGGGATAGTAGAGAGCAAATATAGGAGGTGGTTGTTATGTTGAGTGAAAAAATGGTGGATTAGAAATGAATTTTATGTAGGGGTGGCAAAATGGGTTGTGGCTTACGGGCCGGCTTGTTGGCTCGCCAAAAATTGGCGGGCTAGGCCCATTATTCCAACCCGCCAACCTCCCCCCGCCAAGCCTGCCAGCTTGTTGACTATGTTTTTGCAATTTTTTTTCACATTTTTTTAATGTAATGTGGGCTAGCCAGTTGGTCCACCGGCCCACATTTAGGCGGGGTAGGTCAATATTTTCAGTCCATTTTTCAATGGCAAGTCGATCTAGCCTGACCCGTTTTTGGCGGGCCGGGCCAAAACGGTTCGGATTGACCCGTTTTGCCACCCCTAATTTTATGGAGAGGTTATTGGGGGCAAAGAGTAGTGTGACAATTTTGGAGAGTCTTGTTTGGCCATATTTTCATCTTGTTTTTCATTTCTAGAATTCTAATCAATGTTGAATTTATATGCATGTCAACCAATCCAAAATCACTTGGTTTGATTTTTCTGATAAAGGATGATAAACATATAAAATTTCTATACACCACAAGGGCATACAATATTTACTATTATAAATGTTGCAGGGCATTTCTTCAACCAATTGTAATCTCATTCTCATATTATTAATCAAAGGATTATATTCTGATTCATAATTTAGTCGTATTACAAATCATCCATATTCTCAACAAAAAATAGTTTAATGGGATACTTACCGTAAGATAAGTTTTTCTATTCAACTGCACTAATTGAAATTTTTTTAGAAGTTTCAATGTATAATATGCAATTTTTAGTTGTGTATTATGTAATATGGACCATTTAGCTTATAATAAATGCAATTCCAGTTCAAATAATGTTTGACCAACGAAAGACTCGCCCCACAAGCGCCAATTTTAGGCATTGTGTGGACTATGTTCATAGACTTAAAAAAAAAAAAAGATGCAGTCCCAATTAATTGAAATAGATTAAACTATGTATGCAACAATGTGTCATTAACACGAAAGCAAAAAATGTGAAATGTTATTCTATATTCCCTTCTTTTCAATCCATCCTACTTTATAGAATCTTCTCATGATGAAGAACAATTCATGTTTTCCAACAAGGAACAACCTAGGATTGGACATATCTAATACCAAATTTACCCTAAAAGGAAGATGATAGTATGATATGGGGAAGATGTTCCTTTTCTTCTTTCCTAAATTTAAATCACCAAAAATCTTTGTAGATCTATGATGGAATCCTCATTTTGACATATCTCTTATTGGAGAGTAAAGTAAATAGATAACTACATGAAGTCCTGCATAGTACATAGATCAAGGCTAATGGAATAACCAAATGCAAAAGTAATGATACCACATGACTCATACTAAAATTTTTGCATCCAATAAGGAAAAGCTAATGTTAAATGAATTTCAACTCTTACATGTGACATTTTTTAAAGATAAAATCTTGAGGATAAATTTTTGCACTCATATCAAAGAGATATACTATATTTAAGTGCAGGTAACTTTACTTGACCTAGAATTGTAGGATAGTCATTATTTTAGTGCAACCAAACCTGCTAGAGTTCTAATGAGCAAAAGCTCATGTGGACTCAATTATCATCTTTCTTAATTACACTTTCATGGAAGAAATGTAGAGTTCAATTTTGTGACTTGGTAGTAAGATAAAAGATAGAAAGAGTTTAATCTTCTAAGATTCTTCATTCATTTCTATTTTTAGTACATTGTCCATAATTTTTATTTCTTGTAAATGATGTTGCTATTTCTCTCTTCTCTCCTTTATTGCCATTGTTCCTAACAAATAGTTCACACGTAAACCTTGAAGTGATTCCTTATGTAGTCCAAGAAAATCATGCTTTTGCATCCCAATAATAACTGACAAAGAACTAAGCAATTCTTCACCTACTCGTCTAACTTCACTTGCATATGCCTCTATTATCTCCCTACATTAGTAGTAGATAAATTTTATTAATTTATCAAAAGTTGTGTATATAGCTAGCTTTCCATTGTAAGGATTACCTACTTGAATCCCTCTGGAGTTTTAGGCCAAAATTGAAGCTTCTTGAATTGGGTGGGGTAAGTAATTAACATTAGTGCATCTGACCAGTCTAGTGTCTGCTCCTCAGAAGCTACATAAACCTGCCCATAACCTTGTATGTCATTCGGGGCCATTGCATACTTGTTCTTCTCTTCAATTGGAAGTTTGAAAAACTCAGATGATGCTTCCTTCATTTTGTGCAGAAGCTCTTTCTGAACACCATGATTTACTACCTGCATGCAAAAGTAATTGAAATCACAATCAACATTTGATGAAAACCAATCACTTTTGCTGGGATGTCAATTTCATGGTCTAATTACCCTCAAAAGCTAAACTTTATAGGTAAAATATAGCTGTCAAAG